TCTCCCTCTCTCTCTGTTCTTTTTCTTTTTCTTATTCAAACCCTCTTTCTTTTACCCTAATTAGCATATAATTAAGTATAAAAGATTATAAAATACCCCACTACTTGTTTCAAGGTTCTCTTTTTTAACCCCCAAGTAATTAAATTATTAACATTAAACCACTAACTTTATAATTATAAGCAGGAATAGTCCAAAACGCCCCTTCAAATATTCAACAGAAATCCGACCCAGTCAGGGTCACGCAGCCTGTGACGGTCCGTCACAACTGTGATGGTCCGTCCTGCACGTCCGTCACAAAGTTCAGAGAGTTAATTCTGCGGAAGGATTTGTGACGGTCCGTCGAGCCCTCAACGGTCCGTCCTGCCATTTCGTCGTGAAGTTCAGAGAGTCGATCTCAGTACCCAAATTTCTAAATTCTAAGTGTTTTGGAACGAGACACCCTCGATGGTCCGTCGTGCCCATGACGGTCCGTCGTGGGATCCGTCGACCCAGACAGTGATTTTCAGAAATTAACTCTGCTTCTCCAAACGACTAAACAGGTCGTTACATTAATAGGTAAATAAAGTAATGTTTTCTTATTTCTTAAAAACTATTTTTCTTATATGTAATATATTTATGTTATTTTTTTTATAGGTATGATCAAATTCAAAATGCAGTGAATTATTGTACACAAATTGTAAATAATAATGTTATGGGTGATGAACGAGTTGGTGAGTTGCACAATGATGAACCTTCCGAGCATGAATTAACAGACAGTGATGATATGTATGACGGCGATGATGATAATGTGGATAATGCACCTAATGAATCCGTTGAAGATCAAAGTATTAATTATCATTCTACAGCGATTCCATACTTAGATCACACTGACGAAAATGCAGAAGATTTTATCTACACGAGAGATGATGGTTCCATTCGAACGACACTTTGGAATCCAAACAATCCTAAACATATCCAGTCAGGTTCGATTGTTGAAAACTAAATATTTTATAGTTGTTTATTTATTTATTTATTTATTTCATGTTGATTAATTTAATTTGTATATGCAACTAGGTATGTTATTTATGAATAAGATGCAAATGAAATCTGTAGTAAGAGCATACAGTCTTGCTATTAAAAAAGAATTTCTTTGTGATCAATCCAAAAGTAAAAGTTGGAAAGTTATTTGCAAGCGTCATGAGTTAGGGTGTGATTGGATGATTAGGTTTAGAGAGATTTCAAGCGGTATGTGGAAGACAGGAAAAATGATTGAACCGCATACTTGTCTTACAGATAACTATAAGGAGGATTATTTCAATTTGAATGATCACATGATTGACACTTCATTAATACCATATGTTATATAAAATCCGGACATAAATATTAAGATGATCCGTGAAATTATCAAAGGAAAACATCACTATACTCCTAGTTATAGAAAAGAACAAAAAGGTCGAAGAAAAGCATTTCGAATGGTTTATGGTGATTTTAAAAGTTCATTTAAGGCATTACCTCGATACATGGCTGCACTACAATTATTCAATCCAGGCACTATTATTGAGTGGGAGCATCATTCTACAACAATGCAAGGTGAGCAAATTTTTAAATTTCTTTTTTGGGCTTTTAAACAGAGCATTGATGGTTTCAAAAGTTGTAGGCCGGTCATTTCTATCGACGGCACACATCTTTATGGTTTGTATGATATCAAATTGTTAATTGCGGTTGGAATTGTTGCGAATGAAAATATTTTTCCACTTGCATATGCTTTAGTTGCACGTGAGAGTTTTGAGTCTTGGTCATGGTTTCTCAAGTTATTATGGACACATGTAGTTTGTGAATGACAATGAATTGGTCTTATTTCTGACCGTCATCAAGAAATCTTGCAGTGCGTTCAATCTTATGATTGGTTGAGTCCACCCGACACATATCATAGATTTTGTGTTCGACACTTAAAAGCAAATTTTAATAAAAAAATTATAAATAGTGAACTCGAAAATCTAATGTGGTTGGCTGCTACTGAGCATCAGGAGAAAAAGTTTATGCAACAGATGCAACAAATCAAAACATTGTCTCCTGCAGCATATGAATGGTTAAATGAATTTCCTTTGGAAAAATGGACAATGTATAAGGATGGTGGTCGTAGATGGGGTGCCATGACGACAAATGTGTCTGAGTCATATAATGGTTTATTGAAAAAAGCTCGGGGGCTTCCTGTGACTGCCATGGTTCGAATGACGTTCAAAGCTCTCGTTGATCGTTTTGTCGAAAGAAACAATCTAGCAATTGCATTACTTCAAAGTAATATGTCATGACCTCTTGCGATAGATAAAAAAATTTAATGATTATTATCAAAGAGCTCAAGGGCACACAGATATGATGACTTACAACACAGTTGATGGAGTTTTTGAAATTCTTACTTTTGCTCATGATGGTAAAGGTGAAAATGTCCACAAGGTTACTGCAAAAGGTAAGAAATATTCTTGTGGAAAGTGGAGAAACTATCATATGCCTTGTTCGCATGCCATCAAATTTTGTGGACTTCGCGGAATCGAGCCAAAATCTTATGTAAGTAAATTCTACAGTGCAAAATATGACAAACGAACATACAGTGAGACATTTAATCAAGTGGGTGATGAAATGTATTGGCCACCAGCTTCTTTTAATTTAATTGCAAATACTGAATATTTGCGGACAAGTGGTACGCAAGGAAGAAGCCGACTTAAGAATGATATGGATATAGCTCCGGCTCGCATGACTGGAAAATGTAGTGTTTGTAAGGAGACAGGTCACACAAAGGCACGATGTCCTTCTCGATTTTAAATATTTTGTATATGTTTTTAAGGTTAATGTGTTTTTATTATCTTGTTATTAATATTATGATATATCTTTTATATTTATTTGTTGACATGAATTTAATTTGTCTTGTGCATTTTAAATATTGTACGTATAATATCTTTACATTATTATTATATTATTGATTTGAACTCTATTAAAAAATAATGATTTGACCTAATATAAAAAGTATTGATTTGACCTAACATAAAAAGTATTGATTTGACCTATGACATAAAGAAAATTAAATCCTGCAAACTTGTTCAAACATAAAAAAATGTTGACATAAAAATTATTGATTTGACCTATGATATATCTTTTATATTTATTTGTTGACATGAATTTAATTTGTCTTGTACATTTTAAATATTGTACGTATAATATCTTTACATTATTATTATATTACTGATTTGAACTCTATTAAAAATAATGATTTGATCTAATATAAAAAGTATTGATTTGACCTAACATAAAAAGTATTGATTTGACCTATGACATAAAAAAATTAAATCCTGCAAACTTGTTCAAACATAAAAAAAAAAAAGGGAAAGAATCTCATTACTTTGTTCAAACTTGCACGAAACAACAAAATTTACATATGTCAAAATTCGAATCTTCAGCCTTTTAGAATAAAGGTGCATAAAAAAAATTATTCTTCTGAATCCGAATCTTCTACATCTTCATTTTCAAAATCTTCCTCATTTTGATAGTGACTGCCTGTTCCACATCTAGTTGATTTGTGTAGCCTAGATGTTCTCCGAGGTGAATTTTGTTTATTAAGAACTAAATTTTGTGAAGCCCCAGCATTAAATCTTGAATCATCAAATACAGTTACTTATAATACAATATAACATAATATAATCAAATAAACATGCAATAAAAATAAAAAAAATTATAAAAAGTTAAAAAAATTGTATGAAAATTATTATACTTACATTCGAAAAATTCAATCTTCCACCAAATGGAGAATTATGTATAGGAAATTCACGCATACCATGTTGAAAACCATATTGAGATCCACTAAATTACGCAAACCCAGATATTGGAACCTGCGGAGTTACAAAACCAACTGTTTGCTGACTAGAAAAATTCGAATTAGTGTTAGAGGGCCCTGCATAAAAATCAAACGTGGGATAATAAGGCTCGGGAGTCGCCACATTAGCGTTAGAGGGCCCTGCAGAAAAATCAGTTGTTTCACCAGCGGTCCTTCTACCTCGACGAGCACCCTCTCTCGGTGTTGTTTGTCGTGATCGGCGAGATACTTGTACTGGTGGTGGTTCATCGTATTGAGTGGGAGGATTGCAATCAGGATCAAAGCTCAATCGCGTTCCCTGAAAGGCCGCATTCATTGACTCCATTGAAATACGAGCGACTTCCTCTGCATATTGTCTCATTTCATTAGATTGATTTTCATCATTTTCAATCATCCGAGCTTGACGATACTGCATTTCATGACCCCTAACCTATAATGAATAAACAAATATTAATAACAAAAAAATTATTAAAGATTGACATAATAATTTAAAATTTACATAATATACATACTAATGCCTCATGTCTTCCTGCCATGTGTTGATACTCTTTTGTACAACATGTTGTGGATTTCCAATGACCATGCGGGTATGCCTCATGTACCAACGAAAGTAATCTGTTTGATCACTTACAAATGGAGGTCGAAATATACGATTGTGACGTTGTTCCCATAAATATTGTGTATAGTTAAATGCATCTATATCTTCTTGTTTTATTTTGGATCGTTTATCACACTTAAAATGATATTCAGAAAATTGGGTACACGGTTCAGGAATATGTTGTAAATAACCGAACTGTCTCACAACACGATCAATCATGTGCCACTCACGATAAATTTCATAAATCAGTGGCACCTGTGCCATGCAGACACGTTGTCCTGACCGACACCACTCAGGCAATCCATTAATAACATCTTCCGAATAAGGCTGCCAAATAAACTATTAAAAAATAATTAAGTAAGATAATTATAAAAACAACATTGGCAGAAAAAAATATTTACGTGAAAATGAACAATCTTACAAAATAATTTTTTTGTACCATTGTGTCATTTAAAGATCTACCAAATATATTCTTATTTAAAATAAAATAAACTATGAATAGTTTAAGATACTAATAATATTAAATACTTGTTCATCAGTTAGATTATCTAGTACATCCCTAATCACACGATTACAGTTCATGCCTCATTTCGATGATTTCTACCTCGCGTCCATTTACGTGCAAGCGCAGGTGAAGCCTCAAGTTGATTGGTTCTTAGAGGCTTTGGCAATGGTTGCAGGGGAATAATTCTTTCCCATGCCCAAATCTACAATAAATAAATTCACCATTACTTATAATGCACTTAAATTTAAAAGTGCATATTACTAGTATATAAAAAATATTTAATTAAAAAATATGTATACCTGCACTAAAGAGAGAAATCCACAAACTTCATTTGATTTTTTCATTGACGCACGGCATAAACAATTATACAAATATGATAATGTGTCCGATTCCCATGCTTGAGTTGACATTAAATCTAAATTTCTCATGTCAATCAAAATGTCCAAATTAATCTTATTATTAGATTTATCCGGAAATATTGATCCACCACATAACCATAATAAATATAATCTAAATCTTTGTTGAACTTCATGCTCAGTTGAGTTATCATTAATAACTTCCAAACCTTCGATATACTCAATCAATTTATATGTTAACAATCTAATAACACCAGAAAAACAACTAGTATCGGGTAACCATCCTGTTAATTGAAAAATCATTTCTTGTCTACCTATAATCCCTAAAGAATCAGCTCCATTTAAAATTATAGGACTACCATCTACTACCATTCCGAATAAAATTTCAATATCTTGTAAAGTTATGGTAGCCTCGCCAGTTCGCATGTGAGAAGTATGAGTTTCCGGACGCCACTTTCAATTAAAGCAGAAATTAATCCGGAGTCATACGACACACATCCAACATCAAGAATTACTTTAAATCTACAATTTTCAAAATATTGAAGGATGCGAGAATGTAATGGATGATATTTTAAATGTTGCCAAAATTCAATATCACCACGACGCGTATATAAGCAAGTCCTCTTTTCTTTTATGCTACCATTCCAAATTCCTTCAGAACGATGATGAACTTGAATTTTTAATACATCATGCTCTACTGGATCAGGATGTAGGTATAAATTTGACAGATGCATATCTATACACAAAAAATAAAAAGAAATATTAACATTAATATAAGTATCAAACGATTGAATATATCAACAATATCATATAAAAGTATAAAATTAATTAAAATAAATTAAAAATAAAATAAATTTAAACTCACCTTATAAAGAAAATGCTTTTAAAAACTTTAGAAAATTTGAAGAATAACAAGAATTTTAAGATTGTCGAAGATTGAAAGTAGATTGGAAGATTGAAAGATTGTTGGTAGATTGGAAAATTGAAAGTAATATGAATATGAAGGATAAGTCCAATTGATAGCATTGAAAGTACGGAAAATGGCCTAAAATACCCTTGTAGTATTGAAAATGGTACAAAATTACCCTTCATCCATCTATTGGCTCCAAAATGCCCTTTTCATCCACCTATTGGCTCCAAAATGCCCTTATCATCCACCTTTGGGTTCAAAATTGACTACTTTAATTATTTTAAAATTAAACTCTTTAAATATTTTTAAAAATACTTGGCATTGAACTATTGATTATAATTTTAATTTATTAATATAATTTATAAATCAACCCACTACCCACTCATTACTAACAAACCTCACCCAATTAATAATCCAATTATTATAAGAAAATCGTCATAAACACTACTAAAACACGATGAAATTATAGATTCCTGAAAATGACATTGAAAATTATTCGAGTCCGAATCGAAGCCCCAATTAAATTTAGGTTGAGACGCTTATTTAGGAGGACACTTTCTTTCAAACTTGAATTAGAAATTTATGATTAAAGGTAAAGATGTAATACATCCCGAATTAATTCATGCACTTTTTTAAATATAATTTTATAAATATTTTTGATTTGTTTTAATACCTTTAATGTATTATTTTCAAAAAAAGTTACCTATGAAGTAATATCACATAATTGAGACGTAAGAATAATTAAGATGAACATAGTCAGACTTTTAAGTTTGTCGGTGATTTTTATTTAGCCAATTGAATGTATGATAATTTGCTTCTATAATTTTTAAAAACAATCAATTGGCAGTAGCTTGCATTAAGGGTTTATTAATTTAGAGGAATTTAATTAATAATGGGTGGGTAGTGGATTGATTTATAAATAATACTTATTAATTTAACTATAACAAATAGTTGAGCGTCACGTATTTTAAAATATATTTAAATAATTTAAATATAAAACCGTTAAATAAGTGGTCAATTTTGAACCAACAGGTGGATGACAGGGGTATTTTGGACCCAATAGGTGGGTGGAAAGGGTATTTTGGAGCCAATAGGTGGATGGAGGGTAATTTTGTACCATTTCCAATACTTTAAGGGTATTTTAGGCCCTTTACCGTTGAAAGTATATCAGTACTATTTACATGTGAACACTTTGTTCAACTATTTACAATAAAAACAAATTTTCTAGTATTCTCATGTGATCATCTTTAACTTTATATATATATATATATATAACATTTCGCTTTAAAAGAAATTCAATAATTTTTCTGCCTTTAATATATTTATTACTTTACTTATTTTTAATTTTTTTTAAAATAATGTATATTTTCTTATAAGTTATATATTTAAATTTTAAAAAATATTATAAATTTTTTTATATAAAATCGTTGTTTTAACATTTTTTAATTTTTTTTAAAAAAAATAGCTTCCTGCAGCGATTTAATAAATAATTTAAAAAAAAAAAAAATCGCTGTCAAGGCAGCGATTTATAAAAATAAATTTTTTTTTTATAAAATAAATTGCTGCCACGACAACGATTTATCAAAAAGAATTTTTTTTTGGTTATAAATCGCTGCATTGGCAGCGATTTATATTATAATTTTTTTTTTATTTTATAAATCGCTGCACTGGCAGCGATTTATATTATAATATTTTTTTATAAATCGCTGCACTGGCAGCGATATACCTTATTTTTTTAAAAAAAATATAATTAAAAAGTAATATGAAATCGCTGCCAAGGCAGCGATTTGTAAGAAGCAAAATTTTGAAATCGCTGCTTAGGCAACGATTTCAATTTTTTATTAAAAAAAAACTTTTGCAAAATCGCTGCCTCAGCAGCGATTTTACTTTTTCAGGTGAGGTAAGTCGCTGCACCTGCAGCGATTTTACCGTTTTGATTAATATAAAATTTTATATACCGTTTTGGAATTTTTGTTAATATTTTGTACCCTTTAAGTTTCGGAACCGATTTATTAGCTACTCTAAATTAAATTCTTTAAGCAATGACTTAGGTGCACCATCTTAACTTGTAGATCTTCTTTATCCTTTTTGTCTCTTACCTCTTTTTTTATTATTGATATGAAATTATAAAATGTCCCTCTTTCTTCTATCGTTATTGCTTCATCAAAAGTTGATGGGGCCTCATGTGCTAGGATATGATGTTATAACAAATTAAATGTTCACATGTATATCTCTATACATTCAATCTGCCATTTATCATTTTTTTTTTTAAAAAAAGACCTTCACTTTCTCCATAAGTATACAATTATCTGTCACAATGTATTTGATTTCTTAACTTAAACAAGTATCGTTATTTTTTAGTAGCTTTGAAATTGTAGCAATAACGTCTTCATATGAATCATAATTTTTTTGATAACCATACCATTTATAATGTGATTGATATAAACATTTTTCATATTCCATTGGCGAGATGTGAATCAACATTGTTCTGATTGCTATTTTTTGAACTTAGTAAACTCTAAAATAACGAATGAATGATTAAAATATTTGTGTAATCAAATTTCTGAACGTATAGTTCATAAATCTTCAACTTAATAATCACTCATTTTTTGCTCAATTGAATCAATTTCATTATTCAAGTTTCAAATGCAATTTTTGACTGATTTTGAACCCTAACTTGGATAAGAGTTTGAATAATCGAATTCAAATCACCTATTCCATTTTAGAGTGAAGTTATGGACGTGCCTTATTAATTTTAAAACATTTTATAAAACATCTCTGGTACGATTAACTACTAATTTAGAACCATATATTGTTTATATAGCCTCGTAGTTGGACTAATACACTTTATCACTCGTAGTTTACATCTTTATTTGTTGTTATCATAATACAGATCCAATTGTCATTTCTTAGATAGAATTTCACGTAGAGACAAAATAGAACTGTCAGAATGGACTTAGCCAATGGGGCCAGTCCGACCTAACTCATTATTGGTGTATGGTTGAGATAGAATTTTTCAAACCCATTTAAAATTAGTGCTTATATGCCCGACTCATATAAGTCCTTGGCCCTTGAGATTTGATCAAGGTGCGGTCGGGGTCGATCTATAGGCCAAAACTTATTTTAAGGGTAACTTACAATAATCTCACTAGTAATAATCTAATCACTTACGTACACACTATGTTGTAGTATTGTGAATCTTATGAGGTTTTGGTACGTCTAGATACATGTGTCTCGAAAAATATAGACTCAAAATTAGGTTAATTTGTTCTACATACACTTTATCCAAGTAGATTCGCATGTATCTAGATACATAGACAAATCTCACGCCCTCGCTTCCCTCACATCTTGCTTGTGAGATTCTTATATATCTCGCTCGCATATCTGGAATGTGAGATACACAGTAATTACACTAGATTTTTTATTAGTGTTCTTGAAACAACATCATTGTTTGTCATATTTGATTTGAAAATCTTCTCAATGTCTTGATGGTATAAAATAATAAGTTTGAAAAGAAAAATAAATAAAAAAAGGCTAGTCCGCCCTAGGACTGGTCAATGGAACGGGACGTACCGGTACCATTTTGGTTCGTTTTGGTTCGTCCCGTTTCGATTGCCTACGGGTACGGGATAGTCTGAACCGGTACACCGAACGAGACGGAACCGTGATTTCTATTTTTTATATTTTATATTTTATATAATTTATATTTATATTTTTTATAAATTATATTTTATATTTTATATTTTATATAATTTCTATATATTAAAATTAATTACCCACCACACCCTCCCTTTCCCTAACACTTGGCATTAAAAGCTGCCCTGCGTCCTGCCCGACTGCCCGCCCCCGCTGTCCTGCAGCTTTATCAAAAGTTGCAGCCCCTTGCCCCCCTTTCCAATCCAGCGATTGCAACCCCCCCATTTGGCCTTCCCTTTTCCCAACGGTCATTTTAAAACGGAAAAATTAAAACGGCTATTTTTTTTTGTTTTATAAATCAGAATTGATTTGTAAAAGTTATATAAACAAAGTTACAAACATAAGTTTAAGAGAATATATATTTCCATTCATATTTATAAGATTTAGCGATTACGGATATAAATTATAAAATTTCAAATTTACAATATTTAATTCAGTTCTAAATTCTTAATATCATTTGGTGATTTGGTCATTTGCTGTATTTTGAAAGAGGATTCTTCTTCAGATTTCAAGTTTCAACATCAATATTTTAATTTTCATTATAATTGTTTGTTCTTACACAAACGTTTGATAATTTCGTTTCACTCTCTAATCTTATATTTATTTTTTGTATTTATTATTTGTACTTTGTAAGTTGTTCTTATTATATTATTCGTTCTTGTTAAATTTCATATTTTGTAATTTATAATTTTATATCGTGGAGTCTTCTAAAAAAAAGTGAAAATAAAAAAGGTCTAGTAGAATCAGTAAAAAATTTAGTTAAAAAAATTAATAAAGGTGCTATCTCTTCTAAATCTAAAATTCCTCTTGTTAGAATGAATACAGATGAATTTACGCATGTGAATGAAACTAGTTTTTCCCGTCGATCCTATAAATATTAATTCAGATACTCCTACGATTCCCCATGAACTCTATGAAATACATTATGGTATTAATCAAGAAAATGAAGAAGTGGAAATGGATGAACAATTAAATTTAGATGAAGTAGATTTAGATGATACACCGACTAGCCCCGACCTCAGTAGTATAGGTGCTGAAGCTCCACCTCCGGTTGGAACTACTTGTCCCCCTATTATTCCAACTAGAGGTAAGACCAAGGTACAACGTTATTTAAAATCACATGTGTGAAAATTTTGTTATTTGAATGAAGAAAAAATTTTTAGTATATGTAATATTTGTAAACGACATTTTAAATACACATCTGAGGGACTGGAGGTTCAATGGGGCGATTAAAAAAATATTTGATTAACAAGCATAGTAAAGAGTGGTTTGCATATATGTCTTCTCTTGAAGTTGTTGAAAATTGTAGTGTTGAAGCATCGGCTAGAGGATCAAACATGGTTCAAAGTGAATTAAATTCTTCGAACCCAAGTGGTCCTCTTACACATCAAACCTATAACAAGGATCGTGATCGTGAAAACTTTGCTAAAATGGTTGTTGTTTGTGGTTCACCTTTTAATTTTGGAGAACATCCAAATTTTATTGCATATATTCGTGAAACATATAATCCTAGTTATAAAGGTTTATCAAGAAGCATGGTAAAAAGATATATTTTTGAATTTCAAGAAAAACATTGTCAATATTTACGTGCCTATTTTGAACTAATGGATTATAGAGTTGCTATTACTACTGATATGGGTCGTAGTCCTAATGGTTTTGATTATTTAACTGTTACTGCGCATTGGATCGATTAATAATTGGAATTTACAAAAAAGAATTATGGTTATAAAATTTGTCAAAAAAAACCCGGAATTTATATTGCTACTACTGTGTTGGAAATTTTAGATTTTTTCGTTCTTTGTGATAAAGTCGTTAGTATTACTTTAGATAATGCTTCTGCTAATTTAAATGCTATTAATATGCTAGAACCTAGACTTTGTCCTATTAGTAAATATGTTTTTCATGTTAGATGTTCCGCGCATATATTAAATTTGATTTTTAGTGACGGTGTGAAATTATTTGAAAGTAGTTGTGATAAAATTGATAATGCTTGTTTTTACATTTTTCATATGAATAGTAGTAGTAGAATTAATCAATTTAAAGAACTTTGTAATGCATTTAAACATCCGTTTAGAAAAGTTCCAAAGCATGTAAAAACTAGATGGAATTGCTTTTATGATATGCTTGAAGTTGCTTATGCATATAGGCAACCTATTACTACGCTATTTTATAATCATAATGCTTATCCTGAATTAAAACTTAATGATAGTGATTAGGATGAAGTAAATGAACTTAGAATATTTTTGAAATCATTTTATGATGCTACTAAAAAAAATTTCTGGAATATATTATCCTACTATTTCTGAAATTTTAATACACATATGTGAAATTTCATCTATCTTTTCTGATTATAAAATAAATAATTTATTTACCTCTGCTATTGAAGTTATGATTACAAAATTTAAGAAATATTTTTTTTCATATTCCTCAAATTTATTTAACTGCAATTCTTTTCAACCCCGAATATAAAGAATATGGTTCAAAAGCTATGCATTTATCAGAATTTAGATATTCAACCTGAAGAAGAACCTGGTTTGGTAACATGTCAAAATAGTATAAAATTCTTTGCTAAAGAAATGTATGATAAATATTCTTTCTTAGATAATGTTGAAAATCCTCAAACGTCTATGAATCAAGTAGGTGCTCATGGACGAGTGAAACATAAACTTGGTCGTGACTCTTCTAATAAATGTGAATTTGTTAAATATCTTGAACAGGGTACGGATGATATTACAAACAATGAAGGTATACCGCAACTATTGAACTGGTGGAGGAATCGTGGAACTCAATTCCCAAAACTTAGTAGGATGGTGAAAGATGTGCTTGTAATTTAAGGATCATCAGTAGCTTCGGAGGCAGCTTTCAGCGCGGTAAGATTTCAAATTGGAGACCACAGATATTCGTTAGCAGGAGACAGCTTGGAGATATCAGTGTTATTTAGAGACTGGATAAATGGTGAGCGTAGAAATCAAGGACTTCCAATGTTAGAAAGTCAATTTGAACTTTTCATAGATTCAGCTATTGGATGTGGTAGTGATGATGACATCGAACTTCAAGATCGTCAACGAGCTTTACCAAGACCAGAAGTTGATTACAATCAATTCATAGCTGAGTTAGAAAGAGGATTTACGGGACTATACAACTATTAGTATTACATTCGAGACTTAGTTGAAACAGAACCCTTCCTAGAAGGTGGATGTGTAAACTATGTACCCTACTAATAGTTGTAAATTGAAATTGTAATTTGTTACAAATTTAAATAAATTAAATTGATATTTTTTAATTTTTGTAATTGTTTTATCCTTATTTCAATTTATTTTTTAAAAAATTACAAATTTTATTTATTTAATATTTACAAGACACAAGTTATAAATATAACTTATAAAATAAATATTAATGAATATAAGTAATAACTTATAAAGTATAAACTTGAAAAGATTTAAATTTTGAAAACTTTATTAAACTTTACTTGCAAACTTAACAACAAAAAAATAAAATAAAATATCTTTAAAATAAACTTAAGTAAATAATTATAGTATAAATTTAAAAACTATTAATTTATACTTAGAAAAATAAAAAAATAATTATATTTTCGTAATCCCAAAAAATATCGTTCCGTTTATCCCGTCCCGTTCCATCCCGATCCGTTCCGGTTCCATCTTGGTATATAGTGAAACGGGACAGAACCAATTATTCATTCCGGTAATTCCGATCCGGTTCATCCCGGTACCGGTCAACAGGTTCCGTTCCGGTACCGATTCGTTCCGGTCCAATGAACCGATTCCGGTCCGTTGACCATTCTTAGTCCGCCCCAGCCCTCAGTCATTCTAGAATTGGGTTGTGTTGAACATTTTTAGGCCCTTCAAATTTCTTGGCCGTAGGCTTCGGCCCGATGGAATTGGGTCGGTCCTTTTTGACAAATCTAGATAAAATTATGAATCAATCATTTTTCTCGAGTTGTATAGGAAAAAGCTTCCCATACGAATGGAGATGGGGTGGGAGTGTTGTTCATCTACATCTTATTCCAATGAGTCATATGTTGAATCGTTGCAATTGATGTTCAATTTTGAAAAAATCTTTAGAAAGCTCAAATCTTTGATGATTACATCATTTTATGATTGAGTTATGAAAACTTCTCAATACTTATCCTACATGTGAAACAATTTTTTTTTTAGTTAAAAAATCTATTGCTAGTTGCTCTACTTAGGATTCTCTAGAAAAAATGAGGGTTTTGCTTCTAGCGACGACATGCTTGGTCCTGCTTAAGGAAAAAAATTGTTATGTTTGATAATCAACAAATGTATTACTTGTATGATAATTAGATACCAAAGTGCCGCTTTTTGTTAAATTTTCTCTGAAAAAATATGACGATTAGACATGCTTCCGTACAATATATATTATTATCATATATGCTTTTAAAATATTTTATATCTTACTACGAAGAGTTTTCTATGTAACTTACACTTTGATACATGTAAAACTTACATAAATATACTATAATAAAAAAATATTTATCATTTATAGCAATAACATTTTTTTTTCACTTGACCACTTTTAATTCATTTATAATACAAGTTTAATACATATTACAAAGATAAATTTATTATTCAAATATAATACAAGTTTTAATAATGGATAATACATTTATCACACATTTTAATACACATATAATATAATGTGATAATTTTTTACCAAACAAACGTAATATGTTTCAAAAACAATTATAATTCAAATATATTGCATACATAATTTACTTTTAATACATATTACAGATTTATTACAATATTGCTATAAATGGTAATAAACAAAAAGTATCACTAAAATCAGTAATTATTTTGAAAATGTGTTAATTCATGTAATTTTTCCCTTTTTGTTAATAGATACACAAAAATAGAGAGAGAAACTAGATACATATATCTGAAGTGATTCATATGTACGTGAGATATCAAATACATGAGAGAGTGATGAGCAGGATGGGAGAAAGGCGATGAAGGCGAGCGAGATTTGCTATGTATCCCATATACATGAGAATTCACTTGATTACAATATATTTAGAACAAATTACACTTAAATATGACCATATGTATCCGAGATACATGTATCTCTACATAACTGGAGATCCCAAAAACTAATAAGATACCTAAATAATATTGTGAATTGGAGTGTATCCAAATAATCAACTCATAAACTAATAAGATTTATGTAAGTTAGCCCAATTTTCTTGAAATGGGGCATTTTAATGAGCCCAATCATTTGGTCCTCACTAAGCCCAAAGTTTGAAAAAGCATGGAGAGGTTAGATACCAACTATCAACTACCCAACGTCCCAAAGGCGGATTTTCCAAAGCTGCGAATATCGATTTCCTTCTTTGGAAATACCGAAAACAACTAACTTATAAGGTTTCCGTTTCATTTCAACATTCTTGCGGTATCCGTTCTGGAGATTAGCAAATTCATCAATTTCACCATTGTCACTGAACTGACTGAGAGTTTTTTCACGCCAGCCAGGGATGATTGATTGATGCTCAATTTCTCAAGAATTGGAGGTAACTGTATCTATAATTGATTTTTTAAAACACCCTCGTCAGCTTTTGGTGTTGTATGATCTTGAACATGGACATATCATTGCCGCTGGATCAGCTACGGAGTAGTTGTAGGTATGCGGCCTTCTTGACAGACCCACATGTTCTGCAGGAAAGACTTGTCCTTTCTGGGAATTTCTCCTTATTCAGCAAGAAAAGGTATAGAAATGTGTTTTCTCAGATTAGAAGTTCTCTTTCTGAACATGGGTTTATAAAGCCAAGACCCATGATGAAACCTTCCAAGAGGGAGGAAAATTTAAGTGAAGAAACCAATTCAAAAGTAAATCAGATTGGGGATCCAGGTTCAGGGATTAGTGCTCAAATAGAGAAGCTAGTTTTTCATAAGAGGTATCATGAGGCTCTTGATTTTTTTGAGCTGTTGGAGTGTGAAGGTGATTGTCAGTTAGATAGTAGCACGTATGATGCTTTGGTAACTGCCTGTATTGGGTTAAGATCGATTAGAGGGGTTAAGCGGGTGCATAATCATATGGTTAGTTCTGGATTGGTATTAGACCAGTACTTATGGAACAGGGTTTTAATGATGCATGTCAAATGTAAGATGATGTTAGATGCACGTAGCATATTTGATGAAATGCCCGAGAGGAACTCGATTTCTTGGAATACAATGGTTGGAGGGCTAGTTGATTTGGGGGATTATTTGGAGGCATTTAGGTTGTTTTTTATGATGTGGGAAGAGAATTCTGCTGCTGATCCTCGGATATTTGCGACAATGATTCGAGCATCTTCTGGATTAGAGGTTATTTCTTTGGGACAGCAATTGCATTCTTGTGCTTTGAAAATGGGGGAAGGCGACAATCGTTTTATATCTTGTGCTTTAATTGATATGTATAGCAAGTGCGGTAGCATAGAGGATGCTCAGTTTGTTTTCGATAATATGCCAGAGAAGACCACAGTAGGATGGAATACGATTATTGCTGGTTACGCTCTCCATGGCTATAGTGAGGAGGCTTTATGTTTGTACTATGAGATGCGAGATGCTGGTGTCAAAATGGATCACTTCACATTTTCAATCATTATTAGAGTTTGCACGAGATTAGCTTCACTGGAGCATGCTAAACAAGCTCATGCAGGGCTAGTTCGACATGGATTTGGATTAGATATAGTTGCTAATACAGCATTAGTGGATTTCTATATCAAATGGGGGAGGATAGAAGATGCTCGTAATGTTTTTGAGGGGATGCCCCAAAAGAACGTTATTTCTTGGAATGCCTTAATTGGTGGATATGGTAATCACGGCCGAGGGATTGAGGCTGTTGAACTATTTGAGCGTATGGTTCACGAAGGAATGATGCCAAATCATGTTACTTTCTTGGCTGTTTTATCTGCATGTCGCTATTCAGGTTTATCAGATTATGGGTGGGAAATATTTGAATCAATGAGTAGAGATTACAAGGTGAAGCCTCGTGCAATGCACTATGCATGTATGATTGAATTGTTGGGTAGAGAAGGGCTTTTAGATGAAGCTTTTGCATTAATCAGAGATGCTCCTTTTAGACCTACTATAAATATGTGGGCGGCCTTACTGACAGCCTGTAGAGTCCACAAGAATTTTGAGCTAGGAAAATTTGCAGCTGAGAAACTTTACGGGATGGAACCAGAAAAACTCAGCAACTATGTGATGCTTTTGAATATCTATAACAGCTCAGGCAAGCAAGATGAAGCTGCAGCAGTTGTTCAAACATTGAAGAGAAAAGGACTCAGAATAAAGCCTGCATGCACATGGATAGAAATAAAGAAGCAACCCCATGTCTTTCTGTCTGGAGATAAGTGCCATGTGCAAACCAAGGAGATATATGAAAAAGTGGATGAGCTTATGCTGGAGATCTCTAAGTATGGCTATGTTACGGGGGGGAAAACCTTACTACCCGACGTAGATGAACAGGAACAAAAATCACCACATTATCACAGTGAAAAGTTGGCAATATCTTTTGGGCTCATAAGCACATCCAGTTCAACCTCACTGCAACTTGTTCAGAGTCATAGGATTTGCAACAATTGCCACAATGCAATTAAGTTGATAGCCATGATTACTAAACGAGAAATTGTTATTAGGGATGCCAGCAGGTTTCATCGATTCAAGAACGGCACTTGTTCTTGTGGTGACTACTGGTGATTGGATTTTAACCTACATGTGAACCATACTTTTGTATGTAATTCAAATATTTTACTGATTCTTCTTTGTTGTCATGAGTATTTCAAAATCATATGGATATACCTCATTGTTCTCTCTGGAGATCAATACAATTTTTTTATCATATGATCGTTCCTGAAGACTTGCTTATTCTACTTGTGATTTTTATCTGACAAATTGGTTCCACCAATAAGCCCAGAAATTGTGCGCATATATGTAATATTTGCATCTTTATCAGCTGATGCAAATTTGCTTTTCTTCTGAAGAAAATTATTTATGGATGTCTACAGTCAAACTTCTAAGCTTCATCTGAGTTCCTGTTTTTTTCTTTCTTTCATTCCCTTTTGGTGCTAGGGATATAAAATTGTTTGTGATACAGTGTCCATAAAGATATTTCAATGTGAACAAGAACTTAATTGTGGTTCCTTGAAGACCCATTATGAGTTCTAATTAAACTTTTTTTTTTCTGTAAGAAAAAGAGCAAATATTGCTATTTCTTATCTTTTTTATTGAACTATAGTTTTGATAAATTTTTTCTTATGATATTTTATCCTGAGATTTCTTCTGTCAAGATATACTAATAAGATAATGAAGTAGAATCTTATTATTGCATTTGATTAAGATAAGAAGTTCAAGAGGTTTGATCTCATGCTTAAAATGATACTAGTTCATAGCTTCATATTAGTTGTAAGTTTTAACTTGCTGGCAAAGAAAATTCGCCACTTGAGAATGGGTTAAGATAGTCAGGTTCATTAAAAATATAGGTGAAGGATAGTACTTATGTTGAAACAGAGTTCAAATCAGGTACATCATATCTTCTACTTTTACTGATAAAATAAAGATATTCTGGTGCTAGAGATCTGCATAGGTATCTATGATTTTGAAAGGACTTGTGGAAGTGAAATTCATTAGGCATTTCCTCGTAGTTCAAAACTATCAGCAACTCATGTCTCCTTTTCTGATAAAATTATCACGATATTCACCGTCCTCTAGACCTGATAAGCTATTGATTCATGTAAGCACAGGGTGAACATGAGACTGATCAAGTGGCAACAGAAACTTAGGAAGCTCCAAGGCATATTGGGAGAAAAGGTAAACTCTTTTATGTGAAAGCATTGGGCACGATTCGCCACATTGATCTGTTTCTTTCCTTATCTCCTTTCTTTGACAGCTTGATCTGTTGTCTGTCATCCAGTAACCTGTGTGACTGACATGATTGATTGCAAGAGGCACTACTTTAGCTCTGTATTATGCTAGTTATTCATATATCTTATGTTTCTGCATCATTTGCTTTGAAAAGGTACCTGCCTAGTTTGTTTCAGATGGAAGAGCTAAGCAACAGACCATGGCGGGGCAGGTGGGCAGTAGATACCTGTTAGAATAACTGTTTGCTGAGTATGCTCTTCAGATCAATTTTCTTGACTCAGGGAAGGCACTTATTTGGTGGTCCTATCAATTTCATCCATCTTTTTGTGTCAGAGAACCATGTCAACTGCCGATTGAGGTCATCAAGTTACTTGTAGTCATCTTCCTCATTCTTATCAAATTCTGTAATCCCTAAATAAGTAGATTACACAAGGAATTGATACAGGACATCTCAAAAGCCTTTTTTTCTCTTGGCTACTGTTAGGCTTTTAAATAAATAATAATCGCAATCAATGCTTGTGAAAATGATCGCTGCAACTCAGGAACGCTCTCTTTCTTAAGCATTAAAAGCTATGGATAGAATTATCTTGTTTCCTCTTCTGTTTATATTTTAGTCCATTTCTTTTCCTTGTTGTGAGATGGAAGAATATTGCACGCAGTGGCGGAGCTAGCTTGGAGAAGCTAAAACAAGTTTTTTTGTTATACTATCCAAATAGTGTTGGAACAAGATGTTTGGTTATGTAGAAGCTGTTGAAATCTTAAATTCCCTTGACATGAGAAAAATTCTAGCAAGGGACAAAGAGGGTTAAAAAATCGCTTTAGCTCACATGTTCTAATTAACTTTATTGAATCGGGTTGTATTAAATCCTGGTCTAGCCACTGATTCCGTGGGTATTCTCTCTTTTATTCAATGAGATGTATGCTTGCATGCCTTCCTTACATTCTTTCCTCCAGAAGTAGTTTTTCTTTTACTGCAGAATTGGTGATAGAAATATCTGTGGTGATCCCTTGTGTCTTTATGGAATTTATGGTGGAACGTTGTTTTGAATAGACAGACTATTTGTTGTGTGCTACATTTCCTATTAGAATTTGAAATACTATGCAAGTGTGATGCTTGTAGTTAAAGAACTATGCAGAACTATTATTGCTAGGTGGACATGGTACTTTTGGCATGTGCAGATTGATTGAGAAATTGAAAACACATCTTGCAGGTTTGAACGATAGAAATAATGAAGGTTCTGGTTCTCGTCATACGTAGGTGGTGCAGATTGTGTTTGAGGTACCTAATATCAAGGATATGGAAAGAGAAATACTGAAAATTTTATACTTACTACTTCATGATTATTGGATTCAGAGAACTATTACTGTCATCGGGTTCACATACTCTCCTAGGAATTTCAACACTTGGCTCATTGATGAGTTGAAATCGTTTCTAACAGAACTAACAGTGGCTGCAAGTTGTCTTATGGACCTATTGTCTTTGGCTAGAATGATGTATATACATGGAGGGAAAAATTTAAATGTGTATGTATAATAAGATTAAACTCATCATTAGTTGCACTCATATGGAATTGTATGGGGAAGACTGCTAGTCAAGAACACTCACATCCAAAAGACGAAGATAGTAGAGATGAGGATGCGCAGATAGATGTGTGACATACGAGGAGTCAAGGAGAGATATAATTAAGAATGAAGTTATACAGGACAAGGTGAGTGACTTCTGTGGTGGACAAGATGAGCATGAGAAAGCGAGACTGAGATGGTACCAACCTGTGAAGAGAAGGTGCACAAGTGCACTAATAAGGAGGGTGAGAGGTTGGCTATAGCAGGTTTTAGGAGAGGTGGAGAGAGGCTGAAGAATAACTAAGGTGGATATGATTGGACAAAACATAATATTTTTTCAGCTTACTGAAGATATGAAGGAAGTAGTTATGATCCTAGAGAGGAAGGTTGGAAGGTCAAGAATTAGGGTAGAAGGGAAGCAGATAGCTAAGTGTTGTCATACTTTTCGTAGGAAAGGCCGGGGCTAGTCTACTCTACTCATCTTCTCCTTATTTAGTAGCGTTTGTTAGTATTCATGTAGTATATTATTCTTTAATTTTTATCACTCTTTGTTGCTTCTTTCGCTTTGTTCATCTTTTTATACAGAGCGGTATGAACCTGGACAATCTGTGGTGTATGTGAAACTTCCTAGAGCGGTATGAACCTGGACAACCTGTGGTGTATGTGAAACTTCCTAGAAGTCTCGCTATCTTAGAAATAAAATCCGACTATGATACTATTTAATTGGTGAGTGTTTAAGTCGTGGAAATATATTGGAGTGTTTTGTATGTCACTTTGTTGCTGAACCAATTTTGGTCCCACTTCCATTGGAATATGGGGAAAGTGTAGTAGGTGATGGAGCATCACAAAACATTGGGCCTAATACATCTTTTGATGTTGAATTAGAACTAACACTTTAGGCCCAAGAAAATGCCTCAAAGCCTGTCCCTACCCCTGCCCCTGCACATGTCCATGCTCCTGCACATGCTAATCTAAATACATCTTCTCCTGTACATTTTTTCACTGCTCCAAATATTCCTCCTGCTCATCTAACTTCAACCCTAATACATCCTTCTACTAATACAACATTTGACCCTGTCCATTCTTTCTCCGATCCAATTTTTGATCATAGTCATTCTTTTAATGCCAAGATTCAGATAGAGAATCATTACATGGAGGAAATTTAATGGGAGTGACGATGAGCTAAGAAGTTTTAAGGAGGAAAATAGTAAAAAAAAAAAGAGAACGAAAAGAGGAGAAAAAGCTCAATTGTATCCTGATCATATCAAGTTAGGAACAGGAAAAAAAGGGTTAGATGCTGGGTATAATGAATCTACATGTGGTTTAGAAGGAAAGTTAGCTGATGAAGAGCCTTATTTAAGACTGGGCAACAGAATGGGACGTATCGGTACCATTTCGATATCGTACCGGTTCGTCCCGTTTTGATTGCACACGGAATGGGACGGGACATTCTGAACCGGTACATGGAACGAAACAGAATCGTAATACACCGGTATCGGTTTATACCGATTCATTCCAGTTTCGGTCCGATTTAATTAATATATGTTGATTAATTTATAATTTATAATTTATATTTTATATAAATTATATTTAATTAATATTTATACTACCCACAACCCACTTACCCAGTACCCGCCCCTACTACCCCTAGTACCCCTACAGCACTCCCCTACCTTCCCTAGCAGCTTTAATTAAAATTTGTCACCTCCCCTCTGCCCCAAGCAGCTTTTAATAAAGTTGTGTCCTACTCCCTCTCGAGTCCCATTTCCCATCGACCTATCCTCTTTTCCAATAGGCCAACAACCATTTATGAAACGGTCAAAATTCAAACGGCTATATTTTTTATTTTACAATTCACAAACGATTTCTAAAAACTATATATACATACATAAGTTTGAGAATATATATTTCCATTCAAATTTCTAAGTTTTAACGATTACAGATTATCTTTCTCAAAATTTCGGACTTTCAATATTCAAGTTCTAAATTCTTAATATCATTTGGTGATTTGGTCATTTGGTGTATTTTGAAAGAGGATTCTTCTTAAGATTTCAAGTTTCGACATCAATATTTTAATTTTCATTATAATTGTTTATTCTTACACAAACATTTGGTAACTTCGTTCCACTCTCTAATCTTATACTTATTTTTTGTATTTATTATTTGTAATTTGTAATTTATTTTTATTATATTATTCGTTTTTGTTAAGTTCCGTATTTTATAATTTATAATTTTATATCATGGATTCTTCTAAAAAAAGTGGAAGTAAAAAAGGTCTAGTAGAATCAATAAAAAATTTAGTTAAAAATACTAATAAAGGTGCTAGTTCTTCTAAATCTAAAAATCCTCTGGTTAGAATGAATACGGATGAATTTACCCATGTGAATGAATCTAGTTTTTTCCGTCCCTGTCTAATAAATATTAATTCGGATACTCCTATAATTCCCTATGAACTCTATGAAAGACATTTTGGTATTAATCAAGAAAATGAAGAAGTGGAAATTGATGAACAAATAAATTTAGATGAAGAAGTAGATTTAGATGATACACAGACTCGTCCCGATCTCAATAGTACAGGCACTGAAGTTCCACCTCTGGTTGGAACTACTCGTTCCCCCTATTATTCCAACTAGAGGTAAGACCAAGGTACAACTTTCTTTAAAATCCCCCTATTATTCCAACTAGAGGTAAGATCAAGGTACAACGTTCTTTAAAATCACATGTGTGGAAATTCTGTTATTTGAATGAAGAAAAAACTTTTAGTATATGTAATATTTGTAAACAACATTTTAAATATACATCTGGTGGGAGTGGAGGTTCAACGGGGGACTAAAAAATCATTTGGTTAACAAGCATAGTAAAGAGTGATTTGCATGTATGTCTTCTCTAGAAGTTGGTGAAAATTCTAGTGTTGAAGCATCGGCTAGAGGATCAAATATGGTTCAACGTGAATTAAATACTTTGAACGCAAGTGGTCCTCTTACACATCGAACCTATAACAAAGATCGTGATCATAAATACTTTGCTAAAATGGTTATTTTTTGTGGTTTACCTTTTAGTTTTGAAGAACATCCGGGTTTTATTGCATATATTCGTGAAACATAAAATCCTAGTTTTAAAGGTTTATCAAGAAACATGGTAAAAAGAGATATTTTTAAATTTCAAGAAAGACATTGTCAATATTTACGTGCCTATTTTGAACTAATGGATTGTAGAGTTGCTATTACTACTGATATGGGACATATTCCTAATGGTTTTGATTATTTAACTGTTATTGCGCATTGGATTGGTTATAATTGAAATTTACAAAAAAAAATTATTGGTTATAAAATTTGTCAAAAGAAAAAAATGAAATGTATATTGCTATTACCGTGTTGAAAATTTTAGATTTTTTTGGTCTTTCCGATAAAGTCATTAGTATTACTTTAGATAATGCTTTTGCTAATTTAAATGCTATTAATATGTTAGAACCTAGACTTTGTCCGATTAGTAAATATGTTTTTCATGTTAGATGTGCTACGCGTATATTAAATTTGGTAGTTAGAGACGGTGTGAAATTATTTGAAAATAGTTGTGATAAAATTGATAATGCTTGTTTTTATATTTTTTATATGAATAGTAGTGGTAGAATTAATCAATTTAAAGAACTTTGTAATGCATTTAAACTTCCGTTTAGAAAAGTTCTGAAGCATGTAAAAACTAGATGGAATTCCTTTTATGATATGCTTGAAGTTGCTTATGCATATAAGTAACCTATTACTACGCTATTTAATAATCATAATGCTTATCCTGAATCAAAACTTAATAATAGTGACTGGGATGAAGTAAATGAACTTAGAATATTTTTGAAATCATTTTATGATGTTAATAAAAAATTTCTAGAATAATTATCCT